TAAAGATAAAGATAAAATGTAAATGTAAATATTATGCACAATGTATGTAGAATTCATTATAAATATAATACAATATAAGTGTAAATAAAATACAGATAAACATAAATACGTACCCATTCAGGCCAATGGTGAGCTCTTAATGGGAAGGAACTTCCTCCCTGAGACTCATTGCTGCCAGATGTGGCAGAGATCAGGACGGGAACATCCCGGGTCACTGCTGCCAGACACAGGGGCAGTTCTGTCTGGATGTTTTCCTCTGATAATGAGAGAAAGGTTATATCCTGTGGTTCATTTAAATGAGGGAGAGAAGATCCCACTCTGATCTGATGTGTATTATGCAAACAGCTACGAGGAAGAGCTTGTGTATGTGTGTGTGTGTAATAAGGCATGACTTGCCGCACTGTGTTTGCTGTCTCTTTTTTATAGTTCAGCATGTTTTGGTTCAAAAATGTATTTGAATATTTTGAAAAGTAACTCGCAGCACACCGCAGAAACCTAAACCAAACAGTGGTGGTCAGTCTCTATAACGGTGTGATGTCCAGAAAGAAACCATGTTATTTTGTTAATAATGTTTCAGGAATATTTTGAGTCTTCATGACCAACCAAATTCTTATCATATAACTGATGTGGATTGCTCATAAGAATGACAATAAATTAATAAATACATTTAAACTAAATAATTAAATAAATGATCAATAAATAAGTGAATAAACTCCCTTCTCGCTGATGTTTCTTTAACAATCTATCTATCTATCTATCTATCTATCTAACTACTGCTAATAATTTCACAAATAATTACAAAAAACATTGAATTTAACATGAAATTTTAAAGCAGAAAGACTGAAATAGTATTTTCTTCAATCAACTTTTTTTTAAATTTACAACTTTTAACAATCTATCTATCTATCTATCTATCTATCTATCTATCTATCTATAAATAAATAAATAAATACAAATATAAATAAATACATGTAAAATGTAAATAAAATTTAAATAATCACATGTAAAATTACAAATAAATATATACAAAATAAATAAACAAATAAATAATAAAAAATATGTCTATCTATCTATCTATCTATCTATCTATCTCAAATGATTAATCGCATCCAAAATAAAAGTTTTTGTTTACATAATATATGTGTGTCTGTGTATATTATATATATATATATATATATATATATATATATATATATACACATGTATATATATATACACACACACAAACACATACAGTATATATTTCAAAAATATTTACATGTATCTATCTATCTATCTATCTATCTTAAATATCCTATACAGGTGTTATGTATTTCAATAGTAGCAAAATATAAAATGCACCAGAGAATATATATTTTCTAAATCTCTTTTGTTTTTGCTCATCAGGTGTATCTTGTTTTAAGGATGTTTGTTAGGACACCACTAAAAACAATGTTACAGTGTATTTCTCTTAACATTTTCAATGCATTTTAAAACATAAATTATATTTAATACCAACTGAATGCCAAAGGGATGGATTTGTTGATATTTTTCGAGGCCATTGTTTTGCAGCAGGCCACCCGCAGCTGTGCCTTCTGTACCAGTAAACAGAAATAAATTGTTGCCAAGTTCTGCTCTGATAAACTCATACAAACTCCAGGCTCACATTCCCGGTCCAGATGCTAACCACTAACGCTACGCTAGGTGTGATCAAAACAAACAGCGTGGATGCTAGCCAAGCAACCGCACAGGTAACAGCAGCTGCCGCGAGCCACCCGATAAAGAAGAAAACACACAAGCGCACAGCTGGCGCCAGATCAAAGGTTGCCAGAGATCGCCAGTCAGCTGCGTTTGCGAACCTGGACGAAATGAGGGCTTTATCTTGCGATGCTTCTTTGGATTGGAAGATCAAACGGGTGTACCCGAGTGTGTGGTCCACTGGCGTGAATTGAGAAAAGCCCAAACTTTTCGTTGATTACCAGCCTGCTCTCCACAACGTAAACATGATGTCAGCAGATGCGGCCGCGGCCATTATGGCTTCCATTAGCTTGATTACTCTGAATTAAACATGCACTTAGCGGTGTGTACATAGCCAAACAGTGCTTGCACTTTAGATGCAGGGTGAGAATGACAACACTGACATTAACCATGACATGCTTTCCAAATTAAAAGCTCTGCATGTAATGCTTCAAGATCACATCCCTAAAAGCAGGCGCTGGGAACATGCATCATGTAAACACAATCAAAACACTGGCTTCAGAAGTTATATGGCCAGTCTTTATGGCTTTTTAATGCTTTGTGTCCTTCTTGGAGCTAAACAGACTACAAATGGTAATTGTTTGAACAAGTGCAGCATGAAGAGTCATCAAAAATTCTCTTCAAATAATAACAGGGTGGATAAATAGTGATAAAATATCATGGTTTATGATGAACTGTTCCTTTAAGAGCATTGCAGGTCAAATGGCAAATCCAATTTCTCAATGTTACTCGTTATTCTCCTTCACAGATCAGTCAGCATGATTCCTCTGATTCTTGTCTCAGTGGTAAAGCTCTCATAGAGCAATATGATTTGTATTAGAGTTAAATATTAGCTTCATGGCAATGAGATGATGGCCAGCCTCAGAGAAAGAGACAGAGAGAGCGACCGCTTTCCAAACCCCATCACAGACCAGTGAAGAGTTAATCTACAGCACATGTTCTCTATGGAAATAATGAGAGTCAGTGTAGAGACTTTTCCACTTGATGCTGGAGCTATTGGGCATTCATTAAAGAGATTAACTGAACCTTATAACCAACAACAACCTTAATTTATTTATATTTATTTATTATATTTATATTTTATTACATTTATATTACATAATTGTATATTATATACAATTATATTTTTATTATTTTATTATGTTTATATTATAGAAAACTATTCATTTTAAATGTTTATATATTATAATAATTAATACATTTAATATATGTGTGTGTGTGTGTGTATACAAATATAGAAAAATAAATATAAAAAAACATGACATATATAATTGATATTTAATATACTGTGGTAAAGGCAAACCTTCTGTGCTGATTTAAGGATATTATTCCATTACTGGAGCCAATATCCTCATCTTTTAAATGAGATCTCGCAAAACTGACCTCAAATCAGCACAAAGGAGCCTTGGAGAGATCGAGAGACTCCTGACAGACGTTCTGGGGACAAACCCCATCAGGAAATGACTGCTTAGAGTTGTTATGCTTTCGTGTTTTTCTTTCTTTCATAGCAGCTCACCAACTCCCTTCTCGCTGACGTTTATTTCACAAGGCTGGTTTTTAATAAAGTCAGCTTTTATGTTTATTTAACAACGCTTTACACTTTGCATTACTCAGGATGGAGTGAGTAATTCAACACTGGCCTCATCAGAGAACTGCTTGTTTTATGTTTGATAATAAAAAGAACATCTTTCATCATAATGAACTGAATCGCAAAACACGTGTGACAGCTTCATCCGCTGGCGAGAGCTGAAATGGTGGCAATTATCATGTCTCCAGAGTCCATTTTAAAACAGTTTTTCATTTTGCATTATTGCTTAAAATTACAGTTTAATATTTAGCTTGGACGACATAGGTGCAGCCACAGAAACCTGTCCCAAAACCTGCCTACATACAGTAGATGACATTTTAGGTGCATTCCAAAATGTTTATGATTTCAGCCAAATACTAAAGCAGCATTGTATCCTTAAAGGCACAGTTCACCAAAAATGAAAGTATAAGTCTTTTTTTATGTTCATGTTGCTCCAAACATGTAAGACTTTTTCGAAAGATCTTTTTGTGTGTTACACAGAAATAAAGTCTTGTGTAATACTGGTTTGGAACAACACAAGTTAGTAGATAGAATTTTCATTGTTAGGTGAACCTTTAAGAAAAAAAAAATCCCATAATGCAATGCACTGAACCCAGTGATGATGATATACTGTATATATTATTTTAACTACATATTTTTTTTTATCTTTATTAGAGTAGCGGTTAAACCCATTACAAAAGAGTGGATATGCTGACCAATCAGAGCAGGCTTGGCTTTTTTGGAAAGGCAGGATTTAAAGAGACAGGAACTAAAAAAGGAGTGTTTCAGGCAAAGGTACTACCACTATGTACAGTGTGAGAAAAATAATGTTTTTGAATATTAAATCATGTAAATGTCTTGTAACAGACCCCAAAAATAAAATTTTGAACTTGTGAATTAGCATAATATGGGAACCTAAATATTTAATGCATACTGAAAATGTGTCAGGATTTCCCATACACAAATGTAATATATATTTTTTATTTATTTATTTTTATTTATTTAGTCATTTAGCAGACGCTTTTATCCAAAGTGACTTACAAATGAGGACAATAAAAGCAGTCATATATGTACACATATATACATTTCTATGAAATATGTAAGGTGAATTAAAACAACCTATTAGACATTGGAACAATTTCATATATTAACATGTATATCTAGCACAAATATGTATGTTTATGTATGTGTAGGACATTTTTGGGCATATACTGTACATCATGTACATGTATATCTATCCTTACACCCATCAATACATATTATATAAGTAAATATAAAAGATAGATATGTATCTAAACATTTATTACAAAAATAAATATAAACACACAGATTTTTGTATTTATGTTATTTTAATAAATTTGCATAAACAAAATACACATTGCTACATACGTATATATTGACATATATAGTTGCTACATATAATCCCATACCATACCAAAAATCCTAATATAGATCTTATTAACCTATGTACATATACAAATTTTGCTTTGGGGATTTTTTTATATGTTCTAATATTCATCTACCCAGAGAATGTAAATATTTGAAAATTATATTTGGCAATATCACTTGATAAAGAGCAATATATTTCACATACTGCATTTCTGTAGGAGTTGTGGTGTTTCAAACCATTTAGAAACCATGTTTGATCACAGAACTGACTTCTATTATGACTAACTTTCAGTTTCTCGTTCTGTAGGAATCTAATGCCGCGTACTTTAGACGGCCAGATCACCATGGAGAAAACACCCAGCTACTTCATCACCCGTGAAGCACCGCCCCGCGTCTTCTCCATGAGCCGCAGCACCAAACTCATCGTGGTGGTCCGTGACCCCGTGACACGGGCCGTGTCGGATTACACTCAGACTCTGACTAAAAGCCCCGGCCTGCCGTCCTTCCAGAATCTGGTCTTCAAGAACTCCACCACAGGTCTGATCGACACGTCCTGGAGTGCCGTGAGGATCGGCATCTATGCCAAACACCTGGAGAACTGGCTCAGGTATTTCCCGCTCGCACAGTTACTTTTCGTGAGCGGCGAGAAGCTGGTGACGGACCCCGCGGGAGAAATGGGCCGGGTGCAGGATTTCCTGGGACTCAAACGGGTGGTGACCAATAAGCACTTCTACTTTAACCAGACTAAAGGCTTCCCCTGCCTCAAAAAGCCGGAAGGAAGCAGCAGACCGCGATGCCTGGGGAAATCGAAAGGCCGACCGCATCCACACATACCAGCGGAAGTGCTGCACAGACTCAGGGATTTCTACAGGCCTTTCAACATGAAGTTCTACCAGATGACTGGTCAGGACTTTGGCTGGGACTAAACACTTGCAGGACCCTTTCTGATAATGCAGAAAGCAATGAAACTGTTTATTTATGACTGATTGATGTTGATTTTCAGTATCTTCACCCTGAGTACTCTCAGAAATTGCTAGTAAATTTCACAATTAATTACACACACACACAAAAAACTGCAAGTGCAAACAAAGAGATTGCTGGCCACACACTGAATGTAATCCAGACTGGAAAAGGTCTAGCAAAAATATATCTTATTATATAAACATCATAGTGTAAAAAAGTGCACAGTGCAAATGAATTAAAAACTAAACCAGCTCAAGCAAACATTTGAGCACATTGCTTTTTTTAGTGCTCACATAACAACAACCATTTACCCTTTTTCTGGATTACTAATTAGAGATAATTAGCTTGGTTCAATTAGCAGGTGGACCTATATACAAGAACAACAAATAGTATTCATTTTATAAATATGCAAATCATGCAAACAGTGAAACAAAATCAGTCACCAAATTTTAATAATAAAAAAGATAAAAAATATACAAATAATACAAAAATGCAAAGTCAACCCCCCCCCCCCTTCAAAAAAAAAAAGATTAACTTTCATCATGCATTTTATTTATTTATTTTTTAAAATGTGGTTTATATGATAAAATATATTTTTATTCTCCAGTCTAGATTTAATTCAGTGTGCAGCCAGCATTGACATTTTTTTTTTTTTTTTGGCTTTACGCACATGAAGCAACTTGATTTTTCCTCAGTTGAAGCAAAACAATCTCTTCTAGTACAAAGAAACACAAGTAACACATTAAATTTAAAATTCTAAAGTAGAAAGTCATGTAAAAATCCTCCTCATCACATGCATTTTTAAAATGCATTTTACAGTATATATGTGCATTTTAAAATGCATTTTACAGTATATATGTACATTTTAAAATGCATTTTACAGTATACATTTGCATTTAAAATGTGCATTTTACAGTATATATTTGGTTTGCAAAGGATTCAACTGAGAATTATCTCAAACAGCCTGAACAGAATTCCGGCTCTGTGATGTCTGCTGCTTAAATGGTCCCTTATTTCAGATGGCCATAATCATACGGCTCAAAACACATTTGTTCTTTGTGATTTATTGCTGCCAGAAAGAGCAAAAACTTGGATGTTCTCATTCAACCACTGTTAAGTAATAGACATGAGACATGTGAGGGAAGAAAAGAGAGAGAGAGCAATAGACATATAACCTTTATTTATTTCATGTGTTTTTGCTCATTAAAAGGAATTTCCTGCTTCTGCAAGAAAACACATTTGTTTTATAATGTTTTACATAAAAGTGGTTTTAGATATTTAATGTGGACTCTGTGGCTTAGATTCTGGACCATGCATTTCTTATGCCACATATTTTTTTAATAACAGATGATTATTCATTTAATTCGCTAAAGGTGTGTTTCCATAGTGAAATAGAGCTATGTAACGCTTTAAATAGTTTCTTTTATTTTCTCAAAATAATTATTAGATATGTTATACAGGGATGAATACTGGACTATGCATTATATCTGCTGACTGAAAACAAAGTTTTGCTTCTGCTGTAAATTGCTATTATTTATATTCATGAATGTAAAGATTTTTTGATCTGTCAGTGTCCAAATATATATTGAAATCAGTGAGCAGCATTTTTTTTCTACAAACATTATAATAAATAAACATGATAGGAACAGTGTACACATACATTTCTGTCAGGACTACTATCGTCAAAATGATTGACACTTAGCATACAGTTCGGTTTGCCTGTATGGTTCTGTTCTGGGCAAAAACTCCCTGCCCATCCATGCAGCTTGTCATGAATGAGCAGAGAGAGCAGCAATAAGAACCCCCAAAGCTAAACAGAACAGAACAAAGCAGATATCATTTATGCACTTAATGATATTTAAGTGTAACACATTATTCAAGGTAAAAGGAGTCTGATTCAACGAGGAATATCAGAAAGTCCAGAAAAGTCCACAGTCCTGACTGTGGCGAAAGGAGGAGTTGGGGATGGAGGAGGGTAATTTGCTCCTGAGCACGCGAAAAAGCTGCTGAATAATACTGAATAGAGCTTATATAGGAATGCCGTGATATGTGTTGTATTCCTATAGGTAGATGTGATCAGCTGAGTCAGCCGATGCAAGCTTGACTCACCTGACCTGCCAGAACTAACGCTATACGCTTCATTTTACTCTTCTCTTTGACCAAATGTAAGTTTTCCAGTGTATAGAGATACATAATAAGTAGAAAATACATTGAATTTCCCCAGAAGAGCATATACTTAATGAATAGTAAACAAAAATAAACGTAATTTTTAATTTGATTTTCCAGAAGAGCATAGCTTTGACTAGAATTTTTCACCCATTAAATAAAAATATATATTTACAGTGTGTGTGTATATATGCATATGTAGTTTTATGATTTCTTTTGTAACTTTTTTTTATAACTTTAAAACTATAATTTTTATAAGTTCAAGGGAGAAACTGGAATGGAGTGTAGCTGTCAGTGCCAACGAGGCTAAATGTGAAGTTAACATTCTGAGCTGAAGCTTTCTGATGTGTAAGCAATCAATTTGCAAGGGTCATAGAGACCTTTAGGATGGTAATCTTTGACCCTTGACCCCTGGATGACCTCCCACGCCATGCCATATTAAAGCGCTGACCACCAAAGCTGCCACACAGAGCCTTTTCTCCCGTCGCATTAATGTTACCAATCTAGAGACAGCCTCTTCATTCCTAAAAAATATCAAAATCAATAATTGTCTGTTTAAGTTTATAGTTCCTCTGCGGTGTGCCATCATCCATTTAGTCCCCTGTCACCATGATTTAATCCAGATCGAGTGCTGCTCGCTTCCAAACATCCATAAAATGTTATTTAATGGAGGATTTACAATATTTTCCAAATTCTGATAGATTAACGTGGCCTGTGTGGGTTTATATGAAGATGTGGATAGCCTAAACTATGATTTTAATCTATTAAAAAGACACATGGTTCCCCTTTTACTATTTCTTAAACTTTCTCAGTTTATCCTCCTGGAACTGAGCAAAAACTGTTTGAGGTCAGTAAGATGTTGG